GAGGGAAGGAGGGAGGAGGGTGAGGGAGGGAGGGAGGGAGAGGGGGGAGGGGGGGGAGAAGGAGGGATAGTGGGAGAGGGGGAGGGAGGAAGGGAGGGAGAGAGAAGGAGGGGGGAATGAGGAAGGGAGGGAAGAGAGGGAGAGAGGGAGAGAGAGAGAGAGAGAGAGAGAGAGAGTTGGCAGGATGGAAGAAGGGAGAGGGAGTGAGGGAGAATGGGGGGTGGGAAAGGGCCATGGGTGAAGGAGAAGTGTTGGAAAAGAAGGATGGGAAGGGAGGGGGATAAGGAGATAGAGAGAGATAAATAAAGAAAGGAGGAGAGGGATAAAACGGGGAGAGGAATAGAGAGAGAGAGAGAGAGAGAGAGAGAGAGAGAGAGAGAGAGAGAGAGAGAGAGAGAGAGAAGAGAGAGAGAGAGAGAGAGAGAGAGAGAGAGAGAGAGAGAGAGAGAGAGAGAGAGAGAGAGAGAGAGAGAGACAGCGAGTAGGAACAACAACAAAAAAAAAAAAACACGAAAAGCGAAAATAGATTTTAAAAACGAGAAGAAAGGAAAAGGAAAAATACGAAGAGAGTTTGAGCAAAGGGAGACGGAGAGCAAACAGATTAGAGAAAGGGGATAGGAAAAGCGAGAAGATGGAAAATACACAAAGCGAAGACACAATAAAAGGGTGAACGAGAGTGGAGAATCAAATGTTTTTTCTTCTATCTCTCTTTCTCTCTCTCTCTCTCTCTCTCTCTCTCTCTCTCTCTCTCTCTTCTCTCTCTCTCTCTCTCTCTCTCTCTCTCTCTCTCTCTGTCTCTCTCTGTCTCTGTCTCTCTCTCTCTCTCTCTCTCTCTCTTTCACTCGTTGATTTTGTCACAAAATTATTTACTTATAATTCACATTAGCAATATTTTTTATACTTACAAAGACCAAGAGAACGATATGTAATATACCAATAGAAAAAAAAACTAAAATAATATTAATAATAATAGGCAGACGTTCCGATAAATAGATAAAGAAAAGAGACAAAACAAAGAAAGAAACTCACTGATAAAGATCTCGCTACATAGAAAAAAAATACAGAAAAAATAGATCATTGTTAACATGATGAGAAACAAAAACGAATCGATATCCTTCTTTTTCCCCTTCGTCGCAAAACACTATTTCTTCTATGACAAAGAGCATCTATCACCTCTCCTTTATCTCCTCTCTTCTATCTCCTAATGGCATCAGGAGAAGGACATCCTCTCCAGCATCCCTCATAAAACAACCAAGTCCTATAACTCAGCATGATTAAATTCCTGTGAAACTTTGTCCTTCCCCAGACAACATCCTGCAGGAGACAGAAAGGTTGTGATTTTTTTTTTTTTTTTTTTTTTTTTTTTTTTTAGGTAATGTGTGATGTTTCTGCTTCTAGGTGTTATGCTGTTTGTAGGACGGGGGTGTAAGTACGTGTCTGTGCATGTGTGAGTGTGGGAGTATATGTGTTAGTATGTGTGTGTGTAAGTATGTGTGTGTGTAAGTGTGTGTGTGTGTGTGTGTTTGTGTGTGATAGTAGTAATAACGATAATGATAGAAATGATATGAATCATGGTAATGAAAATAATGATAATGATAATAACAATAACGATAATAGTGATGATAAGGATAATAATAAGGCTGATAGTGATGAAAGTAATTTTTTCTATTACTTTTATCATCGCTCGTTTCATTATCCTTATCATGAACATCATTATTACTATTACCATATTTATCATTGTTATTATTATTACCATTATTTTTATCAATATCATTATCATCATTATTATCATAATTAGTATAATTTTGAATATCATTATCATTGATTATAATTACTAACACAGCTATTATCATTATCATTAATATCAATATTATCATGTCATTTAGTGAAACTAATATCATCATTTTGCTTATCCTTATCATTATCATCATTATTACTGTTTCCGTTATCATTATCATCATTCGTATCATTATTATCAATATTATCATTATTATTATTATTATCATTATCATCATCGTTATAGTTATCATTCTTATCACTATCCTTATCATTTCCACTGTAATTATTATTATTAATACTACTGTCATTATTATTATTATGATTATTAATATCAATATTATTTTTTTCCTTACTATACTGTTATTATCTAATGTTATCATGAACACTACTATTATCATTAACATCATTACTTTTATTCTTATTTATCATTAGTTTTACTATTATTCATTTTTTTATTATTTTCATTATTAGTATTAGTAGTATAATTATTGTTATTATTAATTATTATTATCAACATTATCATTATCATTTCTATTTTTGTTATCATTATCATCCTAATTATTACCATTGTTGCTAGTAGTGTTATTTCTATTTCTATAATCATTGTTATTATCATTATGACTATTATCATTATCATTTTTTTTCATCCCCATTGTGGTTGTTGTTATTATATTATTATCATTATTATTATTATTATATTATCATTACTATTATTATTGATTATTATTATTATTATTATCATTATTATTGTCATTATCATTATTATTATCATAATTCTTATCAACACTATTATTTATCTTACTATTACCATTATTGCTGTTTCATCATTATTATTATTATCATCATTATCAATATCTTTTTGTTAGTATTATTATTATCACCCTTGTTTAATTATCCTTATTTTTTACTATTATCATTATCATTGTCATCAATTTTATAAACTTTTGTAGTGTATCATCCTCATCCTTATCATTACATTTACCATTATCATTATCATCATTATACTTATAATCATGCATAGATTAATAGTGTTAACATTTCCACGGAGAATTGAAATATTTATCATAACTTCATAATATTAATGATGATTAAGCTAAGACTAATCACACAAACAATATCAGACTTGGCATCAATAATAGTAACAATGATAATAGCAAGGTATACTTTTCAGCATTACGAAAATATATATTTTTGTGCTAAGAATTCATATTCGAATTTGTACTTTGAAATTACACAAATAAAAATGGAATTCTGGTACAGGAATGCCATATTGCAAATCATCGTAAGTAAATTTAGTGTTACTGTTTCATGATAAGTGTAATTAGCCAAATGAGTTTGTTTTATGGTAACTCTACTGTGAGAGGGAAAATTGTCTCATTAAAATGTATATATAAAAAAAAAAAAAACGTATTTTGAAAATGCAATTAACACAAAGTCATTCTCATCTCTCAGGTAGAGGTAATTTTTACCATAATCAACCCTAATTTTTCTTTACAGTGGAGAGAAAAGAGAGAGAAGAATGGAAGAAAGAGAAAGCATAATAATTATTGAGAAATAAAAGTCGAGCATGGTACAATTAACAACAAAAGAGCTAATTATGTTTGGAGTTATTTTCCCTCTCTTCGTTATTTCTGCGTACCCAGATTAAGCTATGGAATTTTAATTTAACTAGGAATTCCCATATTTTTAAGCTGAAAGTTCTTTATATCAAATAGACGCTATTACGTATCGCATTATAACATGCTATTTTTATGTTTATATGTCAACAAATGTTCATATGTATTGTCTCTTCACTTTAAAAAAAAGAAAAAAAGGAAAAGAAGAGAAATAAATCTTTTTCAAATGTACTTGTTGAGAATAATTACATATCACCAATTCAAAATAATAAGAGATAATTATTCCACAAGACATACGTGTTTTCTTGGAGTATTATTCATGCCTAAATTTTAGGAAAAGATTTTATTTTATGAATGGAATAGGAATGTGTTAGTAAGCCATGCAATTGACCGGCCTTACCTCCCCCTTCCATTCATAAGTCTGAAATTACTATCTTAAGTCCCAAAAACGGTGTCTTAATTTTCTTATCCCTCATCTTACTCTAATTCATTCGTAAGTTAATTCATGTATTTGTGAATAATTCCGTTTTCATTCAAATTAGTTTATTCATTGACTAATTCTCATATATTTTCTTGTTTCATTTATATTCTTTTAGTATGTTTTTGTTTTTGAGAGATAGTTCATATGAAATACGAATGCTGTCTATTTCAAAATGCAGAAAGGGATTTATTTTTTCCTTTCGCAGATTTGCCACATTTAGTTTCCGTTCAATATATGCATTTACCATAAAATGGGACTGATTTGTTATTGTGATGCGTACATGATAAATAAAAACGTATTGAGAGGCAGAAAATGACGGAGAGAAGAATGTTTATTTTCACTCTCACTCTCTCTCTCACACACTCTCTCTCTTTCTCTTTCTTTTTCTCTTTCTCTTTCTCTTTCTATTTCTCTCTCTCTCTGTCTCTCTCTGTGTGTGTGTGTGTGTGTGTGTGTCTCAGTGTTCTCGTCTAGCAACCTTGCTGACCCGCGTTCAAATCTTGCACTGCCAGTGGATGGTCATTCCATGTACATTCCTCGCAAACAGGCACCCGAACACACCAAACACAAGAGTAACGATTACATCAAAGGGAATTTACTTTATCATAGATTACTATATACTTTTTCTATATTTCTCCCTATATCTGTATTCCTCTCTCTCATCATATCCCTCTCGCTTTCTCTCCCTTTCTCTCTGTCCATCTCTCTCTCCCTCTCCCTTTCTGTCTACTCTCTCTCTCTCTCTCTCTCTTCTCTCTCTCTCTCCTCTCTCTTCTCTCTCTCTCTCTCTCTCTCTCTCTCTCTCTCTCTCTCTCTCTCTCTCTCTCTCTCTCTCTCTCTCTCTCTCTCTCTCTCTCTCTCTCTCTCTCTCTCTCTCTCTCCCCCTCCCCCCTTCCCCTTCTGTACTCCCCCTTAAGAATTTCAAATACCTGTTCTCCTGCTTCTAGCATCTGTTTCTGTGCTTCATATGTGTTGCTTTTTTCTGTTTTTCACTGGCTCGCCAAAAACTTGCATGTCTCTGATCTTTCCCCCAACTTTTATTTGATATTATTGCAGTTCCACAAGGTATTTTCTGTAAATGATATGTATTTATTTATTTATTTTTTTATTGTAAGGTTGTTTGAACCCAAGACAATCCTTATAGCATGTGGGTTAGACCGACTGCAAGATTTGGATTGATGACACAACAGCACCATTCGGGTAGAGGAAATAGTGGAGTAACAGCAAGCAATTTTGCAAGTGCTTGGTTGCACTAGTTTAGAACAAAAGTCGTGACCTAACACTTTGCATGAGGGACATAAGTGTGTAGTCTGTTTGTTTATTTATTTATTTTCTTCTGTTTATTGTCTGTACTAATTAGTTAGCAAATAGCATTGGTAGAGCTTCATTGCTCTTTTGTGTGTGTGTGCTTGTGCGTGCGTGTGCGTGTGCGTGTGTGTGTCATATGTTGTGTGTGTGTGTGTGTGTGTGTGTGTGTGTGTGTGTGTGTGTGTGTGTGTGTGTGTGTGAGACTTTATGTGTATTGATGTAAATCTTTTTTGCTTATATTGAAGTTATACAGATACATGTATTAATGTTTAGGGAAATTAATTTATTAAAACTTGGAGAACAAAAGACTCACTTGGAAGCAACAGGAAGAGATCAAATTAGTATATCCGGCTAATAAAATAATTGCAGTCATTTTTCTTTCTGCATTAAAAAAGAAAGGAAAAAAAATGTCTTGTCTGATCTGTGTATGGTGGCTCTCTTTTTGTTTTTTGTTTTATTGCTATTTTCTTTTTTTTTCACTATTTTTCTTTTGCTTTTTTTTATGTACTTGTATTATATTTTCTCATTTTCATCATTGACCCCATGCTTATTCAAAATGATCTGAAGCATTTCTTGCGGTTCCTGCAGAAGTCCGTGGCATCCGCATTTGGGCCACGATGATGCATGCTACAGTTGATGGAGACTTCGAAGCAGACGAGTCCCAGTATTTATTATCAGATACAGACGCTGACACAAGAACAGTTACGATGACGGGAACACAACGGCTCTGCTGCCTGTCTTTCTGCATTCGCAATTTTTGTGCACGGTAAAGTAGTTGGTGCATTGTTGTATTGTATTCATTAAACAAAATATCAGTAAAATACTTTTGATATGTGATGTAATCTTTTTTAATTATGTATTTTATTTTGTTTATTGATTTTTTGTTTTATTTTTTATATGTATATATAAAAAACGCAACACACACCACACACACACACACACACACACACACACACACACACACACACACACACACACACACACACACACACACACACACACACACACACACACACACACACAGAAATAGAAAAAGTTTGATAATTCATAAAAACCTATATTCTTGCTCTTTTCTCCAGATTATGTGAGGGCCTTGTGAGCTGTTGCATTCGACGTCGGCAACTCTCATCAAGATCAATACACATCGGCTACCAAACAGCCGAAAAGTTTCCACCAAATGTTATCAGAAATCAAAAATTCAATTTCTTCACTTTCATCCCACTGGTACTGTTTGCTATTTTCAACTGTAGTGTAATTGTGAGCTAGTGTAATGCTAGATATGCTGTGATATCTGTATTCCAGATTGGATTGAAAGTGATGAGTGATTGATCTGGCCCCTGAGTCAAATATGACTTTATCATCTTGCATTCTTTTTGCTTTTCAGGTTCTCTTTGAACAGTTCAAGTTCTTCTTGAACCTATACTTTCTAGTAATGGCTACGTCACAGTTTATCCCAGAACTACGAATTGGATATCTTTATACGTATTGGGGTCCTTTAGTGAGTGTAACCTTCACCTTTTGTAATAGCAGAATACCTTCTTATGATGCTGGATACTTTTGAATCATGAAGACTGCGTACTTTTATGATTATTATCAGTAGCTCTTGGCACTGGATCTTCTTTATTATTATTATTGAAAAAATATCCTTTGACCAGTTGTTCTTACTAGCCTGTGTAACAATGCAACTTCTGAATTCATCAGGGTTTTGTCATCCTCGTCACCATGATTCGTGAAGCTGTTGATGATGTCAGAAGACGACAAAGGGACAATGAAGTCAACCAGCAGAAATACAAGAAGTTAACGCCACATGGAGGATCTAGAACTGTAACAAGTGCTAATATTAAAGTGGGCGATTTAATATTTGTGGAGAAGGTGAGTTGGTAATCATGGCTAGAGATAAAGAGAATGGGAATAAAGAGATTGAATTACAGATTTGAAAGCATCAGGAGGAAAATTTCATTTACAGTAAATTTCAGGATGTAGTGCCTCTGTTTAGGGAACTATAAGATTATTAGTTCTGATTCCAAAAGAAAACTAATCTTAGATAGTGAATTTATAGACCTGATATAAGGTGCATAATAATAACTACATGTAAATTTTCAGGACCAACGTGTGCCTGCGGACATGGTGTTTCTTCGCACAACAGAGGCCAATGGTGCCTGCTTTATCCGTACTGACCAGTTAGACGGAGAAACGGACTGGAAGCTAAGGTTGGCAGTTCCTGTTACTCAGAAACTAGAGACAAATGAGGAGCTGTTCAACATGAATGCTATGGTTTATGCTGAAAAGCCACAGAAAGATATTCACAACTTTATCGGGACATTCACCAAGGTTAGTTATGTCAATATATTTGTATGGTGGTAGATGTATATTTTTATCTAATAGATTGATTAATCTATTCTCTTATTCTGTTATCTTAAGTGCATATCTCATGTCAAACTGCATGATATATATATATATATATATAATATATATATATTATATATATATATGTATATGTATATATATGTATATATATATATATATATATATATATATATATTATATATATATGTATATATATATATATATATATATATATATATGTATATATATATATATATATATATATATATATATATATATATATATATATATATATATATATATATATATATATATATATATATATATATATATATATATATATATATATATATATATATATATACATACATACATACACATACGCATATATATTGAAAAATATATTCAAAACATTTTTGTAATTTTACAATAATTAAATATGGATTGAGAAATATTATTATGTTTTAAGGAGTATAACTGAGGTGTTTCTAGTTGTAGTAATAAGATATTGGATTATGGTTGTATTATATAAGTGTCACTTTTTTATGCCAGTTTCATTATTCAGATTCATTTTCCCATCACCAGCATGATACAGATACAGAAGAGTCACTGAGTGTGGAGAACACAGTCTGGGCAGGGACAGTTGTTGCCTCAGGAAGGTTGCTAGGACTCGTTGTTTACACTGGATGTGAAACACGCTCTGTCATGAACAATGCTGCTCCCAGGTCCAAGACGGGACTTCTGGATTTGGAAATAAACAACCTCACAAAGGTCAGCATTACTAATAAGAACCAGATTCTCTTAAAGTTACACTTGTTGTGTTCATATGACTGTGTAATATTTGATAAGAAATGGTTTGCCTCTTCTATTTACAATAATCAAATGAGATATTAAAATGGTTTGTAAACCATCTGAAAAATTCATTTTGAGATTATATTATTTTATTGCATATACATCCTTTCTCAATTTTTGCAATTCAAATTTCATGATCTTTTGCTGCGTTTCCCCTCAGCTTCTCTTTGTAGCTGTGTTGGGCCTGACCGTTGTGATGATGTGCCTAAAAGGGTTTGGTGGGCCTTGGTACCGCTACTTTTTCCGTTTTCTGCTCTTGTTTTCGTACATCATTCCCATCAGGTTGGTACATAATTGCTGTCACAAATGTGTGATTATGCTATGGGTAATATACATATATATTGTGCATCGTTTTCAGTCATAAAAATTGATTTGTTATATTTGTTGCTTTTGGTACAGTGTATTTATATCTAGTTATTTTGTTATTTTATAAAGGCATGTCTTTGTTGTTATGAATCAGTTTTATTGTATTACAAAATACTTCTACAATTTCAGTTTACGTGTGAATCTGGATGTGGGAAAGGCCTTCTACTCCTGGGTCATCCAACGTGACCAGGAGATGCCAGGAACTGTTGTCCGTACAACGACAATACCTGAGGAGCTAGGGCGAATTAATTACCTTTTAACTGACAAGACAGGGACTCTTACACAGAATGAGATGGTGTTCAAAATCCTTCATCTTGGCACAGTAGCTTATGGGACAGATACTTTTGATGAGGTAATTTTTATCCTCTATTTTGATCAGTTCAATATCCATGAGTATAATCCTTCTAACATAATTTGTTGTCAAATGTACTATATTTAGTTTTCATCATTCTGTAGGTTCAGGCACATGTCAACACCTTCTTCTGCAAAGATGCAAGTAGTGCTGGTGCCTCTGGCACACCCACTCGCATGAGGCGAACAGTTGTGACTCGTGTTGGAGAAGCTGTCAAAGCCCTTGCTCTGTGCCACAATGTCACTCCTGTATATGAGGATGGATCTGGCCAGCCTCCAGAGGAATCACAGAACGGAGATCAGCCTCACACTGTTCTCTATCAAGCCTCCAGCCCTGATGAAGTATGTCATTGGAGTTCGGATTTTGGGTTGCTGAGCCTTGTCCCAACTTCAAGATTTCTTTGTACAATTTTGAAAACATATATATTTGTTATTTTCTGAGAGTGAAACTCATTGAAAATGCTAAAAAAGATTTTAATGGAAATGCTGATACTCTCCAAGGTGGCCCTTGTGAAGTGGACAGAGAGCGTTGGTCTCCCTCTTGTCCACCGCGACCTCACCACCCTCACCCTCCGCACCACAAGTGGCAAGCTCCTAACCTACACTGTGCTGCAGATCTTCCCCTTCACTTCTGAGACCAAGAGAATGGGCATTATTGTCAGGGTAAGTAACAGTCGCATGAAGTTTAAGAAGATCTGAGACTTGCACTGTCTGGTATATTTACTTTTGATTTCTAAGTGATAAAGACTAATTGCTGTGTGCTGTTGTCGTAGATATGCATTATAAGTGAAAAATGTGAAAGAATATGACAGGATGGTTTATGTTTTTGTTTGTCTGTGTATTTTCTGTAATTGCATATGGTTTCTAGTTAATTACTCTCCTACAAAAGAAAAGGAAGTAGTTTGTTTATACTGTACTTATGCTCTTTCTTGAAGTTGATTTATTCTCTACAATGTGCCTTTCACTTTCAGGAGGAGCTGACTGGTGAGATTGTCCTTTATATCAAAGGTGCAGACACAGTGATGGCATCAATGGTTGAGTATAATGACTGGCTTGAGGAAGAGTGTACCAACTTGGCTCAGAAAGGTCTACGTACTCTGGTGGTGGCAAGGAAGGTCCTCACACCAGAGCAGTACACACAGTTTGAGGTAAGTCAGTGTTTTTTTCAGGATGTTGAGTTTATTTCATTTTTTCATGGTACAATGATAATATTAATTGTGATAAATTAAGATTGTGATAATAATGGTAATGATAATAGCAATAGTAATTTTGATGTTCTTACATCATTAGAATGTAATAATAATGATGATAATTCTTGGTATGATGGTAATGATTATGATGATTGTGATAAAGCAAGATTTGATTAACCCACTAACGCCGGTATGTTTTATAGCCGGAAATAATAATTTCCGGGTGGCTACAAAATTGGTGTCCTATCCAACATCACACTGGCAATGTTTATTTTACCAGGTGTCTCATATATGGGACACCTGTCATAAATGGGTTAAAGACAACTTGTTAAAATTAAGATTCAGTTAATAAGTAGTACAAAACTAAATCAAAGGTCCATTCTTCCACAAAAATGGGTTCATCATCTAGTGCTACAAATATTTAACACTAAGTCTCTTTTAGAGAAAATTTATCTTTAAACCAGTTAATTTCATTGTTATTATTATTATTTTTTCCCTCAGCAACGCTATAATGCTGCAAAATTGAGTGTAACAGAGAGAGGAAGTCGTGTAGCTGCTGTTATTGAGACTTTGGAGTGTGATCTCGAACTGCTGTGTTTGACTGGGGTAGAGGACAAACTGCAGAACAATGTTAAGCAGACACTTGAGTTGTTGAGAAATGCTGGTATGAAGGTGAGACATACAAGATTACTTTAAGAACAGGCCATTTTTTCCTTTTTTATGCTGTATGCCAAAAAAGTATATATTTTCCACAGAGCCCTCTTACTGTGTCATCTTGAAATTCCAAAGAGCCTCATTTCCTGATTTAGCCATTCTGTATCAGTGTAGATTATGACCTTTAAATGTTGGGCTCCTTGCAAATTATACCATCCCAGTGGTTATGGCATGTTAAAGAACATGTCACCAGATGCCCAATGTTTTTAATATTTTGGTAGATGAGAATGAATTGAAAGCTCCACAAAGTACAAGTATTATAAGCAGACTTTATTGTGGGAAGTGGACAGGCTGAACTAAGCTCTATCTATCTATGCCATGGTGCTGAGGGGATTAGTTACTGTGAATTGAGATTATTGTGTTCTTAAGACTATATGATGTTTATAAAAAAAAGGAAAAAAAAGTATGGAACAAACACAGAGAAGCTTTCTTATAAAGTATATACACTATTTTTTATTGCTGATTTCATTATTACTTAAAGTAGTATGATTTTGTATATACTGCATTGTGAATTATAAAAGATGTCTTGATCCAGAATTCTTTTTCTTTGTTAATCAGATCTGGATGTTGACTGGAGACAAGCTTGAGACAGCCACCTGCATTGCCAAGAGTTCACGCCTTGTTTCCCCCAACCAAGGGCTGCATGTCATGGGCAATGTGTCCACACGAAGAGAGGCGCACTTGGAGCTGAATGCCCTTAGAAGGAAAAGTGATTCTGCTCTTATTATAAAGGTATAGTTAGGTTCCATGAAATATAGTTATGTACTCTATATGTTTCTGTGTTCATTTGATGTATCTGGATATACATGCTTGTGTGTAAGAAGTTGTCAGTTACATGTCCATTTGTGCTGGAAATATTGATTTTAATCTTATGACAATTTCAGGGTGATGCCTTAGAGACCTGCCTTCAGTACTACGAGCATGAGCTGATGGACCTTGCTGTACAGTGCCCAGCAGTTGTGGTGTGCCGATGCTCACCAACTCAGGTATTTTTTTGATATCTTGTATTTATCATTTTCTATGCAGATGGTTAGTTTTTATGGATGCCATTTAGCAAGTATATTTTAAGGTTGAAAGCAATGTCTCTTTAAATGACCTGGCTTTTTTGATGAGATAAAAGTATAAAAGTTTCTTTCTTTTTCACTGATTATTTATGCCATTTTAATGTTTGTTGGGCAAGATATATGGTCAACATTTCTCTTTGGGAATGTGGAATTTCTTAAAAGCTGAAAGAATGATGGAGAAATGTAAGATGATGTTAATGTTTTGGAACCAAATCTTCATTAAGTATATTTTCATATTTTTTATCATCTTCCCCCATTTGTAGAATTGGAGTATTTATGATGTATATTTTATACCATCATGAAGAAGACTTGTCTATTGAGTTTTCTTATTAAGTACACACATAGCTGAATAACATTTACACTTTATGGAGCCTTTTATTCTTTTTTTGTCTCCAGAAAGCGGCGGTGGTACGTCTCATTCAGAGACACACAGGGAAGCGCACAGCAGCTGTAGGGGATGGAGGCAATGATGTCTCCATGATCCAGGCAGCAGATGCTGGGATTGGTATTGTGGGCAAGGTAAAGCGCAATCATATTAGTTGCTGTTATTAGTTATCAGTGAGGAGAATAGAGCACTGAATTGGAATTGCTTAGGAGATTGAATTAATCTAGAGTAAGAATTATTTGGATATATGTAAGAATGAGGTAAAGAGGGTTTGGAAAGCCTTATATTGTAATGATTACTTTTCTTTTTACCTTCTCTTCATATTTTTGTCTTTATAGTAACTTTACTAACAGAGTGCATATCTCTCAACAGGAAGGTAAACAGGCATCCTTAGCAGCTGATTTCAGCATTGACCAGTTCCAGTACATAGCCCGCCTTTGCTTGGTCCACGGCCGTGATTCTTACAAGAGATCAGCTGCTCTCTCCCAGTTTGTGATGCATCGTGGTCTTATCATCTCAACCATTCAAGCTATATTTTCATCAATCTTCTACTTTTCAAGTGTTGCTCTCTACCAGGGCTTCTTGATGGTAGGGTAAGTAATCAAGGTAGCAAGGGTTTTCCACTTCGAAATAGGTGCTAGAGAATTGATTAGTTATTTAAGATTAAGAAGTTATTGCTTTTTGTCTCTCAGGTGTTCAGTACCTTCAAAAATAGTTTTTAAGAAAATTGATCAGGCTTATGAAGATAAACCGTTATATATGTAGCAAATACCAGTATATACCTTCCTCTTATATCCTAATGCTTGTCAAGGTAGAATTTACTTGACTTTGTTAAAAATTTTCTTGTGTAAGTTTTATGAAAAAGCTAATCTGATTTTTTTTTTTTAGCATTCTAAGAAAATGATTGAAAGGCTAGGAAGATATAAAGTAGAATTTTCTCAAGACTTCCCCTATTGATAGTCAGCCTTCCTTCTTTCCTTGTTTTGCTGAAGCAGGGATATGGGCCAAAATGTCTGAAAGCTGAAGACTACAAAGTACCAGACTGTGTTGTATAAAAAAAGGAATATGTGGGGATTTGTGAAATCACTAATTCTCACTGATACTTTTCTCAAGAAATGTCACAGGGAGCTCAAAGGATGAATGAGAAAAGACTACCTATAGATACCCTTTACTTATAAATTAGATATCAACCCATTGCACACCAGATATATCCACTGTTTGTTGTGGCTTTGTTTTTATGAATTGTGTTACACAGATGAATTTACAAGTGCTTAGTCACAAAGGAGGCAGTTACTAGGCTTCCCTGATCTTATCTGTTTGCCCCATCCACTTAATTTTTGGGATGATAGTTTTTACTTCTACTAATATTATGATGATTGATGTTATTAGTATTGTAATTATTGAAAATATTATTATAATGATAGTAGTAAATAAGAAATTTTTTCTGAAAATTCAAGGAATAGGGGAGGAAGGATAGGACTATTATCATAATGATACTAATAATGATAATGGTAATGTACTACAAGAACTTTTTCCAAAAAATCAAGGAAAAAATGAGGTCAGAGAAGTCTACCAGTTGATGCCTTTGTGACTCAGTGCTTCTGCAGCCAACCATATGTAAACAAACAATTACTGTGGGCAGGGCATGTTTATGTTCAAGGCTGTATAAAGGCACTTTCTATCAACTGCATTTTTAAGATGTACAAGAATAAATAAGATACAATATGCTCTAGAATCTGGAGAAATCAGTATCTGAAAATCTTGTTAGAGCATTTTATGAAAGTGTCAAGTGTGACTGTTTCAGTGTGCTTGTTGATGTTGTTGATATATTGTTGCTAACAGAAAGAAGAAATATTTAGGTGCTATTCATAGTGACTCACTGAAGTGAAGGATGATGAATGCATTACATGATAGCATTGTTATGTATAGACTTTATGTATGATTTCCACCTTTTATATTGTCATTATTGCACTCCACCATGCCATTACATTTTTATTTTCCTTCCTAGATATGCAACTGTGTACACCAACTTCCCTGTGTTCTCTCTTGTGCTGGATAGAGATGTGTCTCCAAACATTGCTCTTACTTACCCAGAGCTGTACAAGGACTTAACCAAAGGAAGATCACTGTCCTACAAGACCTTTTTCATATGGGTGCTTATCAGTATTTACCAGGGTAAGGTTTTGAAAGCTCAATTTTATGGTTGCGGGTACTGAAGTATTCAGTTTATACCAAGTGCTATTTACAGTTTACTGAGGTTTGTGTGTTTGAGTGAATTGGTGAAGTAAGGTTTTTTTGAATGTTGTGTTGGGAAACCACATTTGAAAGATCTTGTGTTGATGGCGTGGAAGAGTGTTGATGTACGGTGCAATGTTGCTGTTTGAAGACGAATTGATCCATGTTGTTAGCATCAGCTTCACATCACTAATCCTGACAGAACTTTTGATGGTGGGGCTGACAGTGCGCACATGGCACCCACTGTTAGCCCATGATCGTAGCCCACTTCCTCTCTCTTGGCTTCTATGCCTTGTCCATCATCTTCATGCATTATTTTGGTAAGGGAAGTTTGATAAATATGATTGTTTTGACAGTAGGATTTCAGAAAAGATATTTGTGTAATGAATGATTGTTAGGTCACTTAAGACTTTTTTTTTCTTTTTTAAAACAGCTTTCTGTATTAGGGATGTATTTTTGTTCTGGCTGTAGGAGTATGCTCTCATTTAGTCAGAGTCAAATGTTCTTTTACTGTAAATTAAGATCTTCAAAGTGAAAAAGAAACCTACTTTAAACAGAACTACTTTATTAAAGCAATATTTTTACATTAAGTATTACTAAATGATGTGATATTCATTATTGCCGCAGACTGGAATTTCATCAAATCCAAGGACTTCTTCTGGAAGGTGGTGGTGATCACCCTAGTCTCTTGCTTGCCACTTTACATCCTCAAGTTCCTCCGTCGACGTTTCACGCCCCCAACCTACTCCAAGCTGGAGGAGCTGAACACCTTCGGCAGCACCAACATGACACAACCACAGCCATAGGGTTGTGCCACCTTCCACCTCTAAGGCGTGGCCAGTGGAGGGGGGGACAGAACACTTGAGAGAAACATTATGGAATCAAAACATGATGTGGTAGGCTTGGAGCAGAAAGGCCCTGGGATGGGATCAGTAATGCTGTCTGAATGCAGAATTTTGATCGAAATGATCAGCATAAATTATGAAATTCATATATATGGTTTCTGTTCCATTTAGAAAGGGTGATTGTGTTTTGATATGGAGCTTTATATATTTATATTAATATTTATATCTGTAATTATATTGTATAATGTAAGGGAGTCCATTGCAATAGCAAGTATGTATGCTTTATAGTAGTACTCATTCTCACTATATGCTTTTCCCCTACTTTTATTTTTTCTAGATATATTTTGCTTCAGAAAAGAAAATATTCACTTACACTCTTTGCAGCATCCTTTGCGCTCTGTGCATCATTCTCATTCCAGTTAATTCCATTTAAATGCACACTTCTGTACACTCCTCACTTCGTCCTTTCTCTTGTGTTGCTTTGCTTCCTTCTTTGAGCTCTCTTCCCTGAGTGATTCTTCTTCTGTTGGACACATTTTAATATTTCTCTTTGATGAAAAGCATTGGTTTATAAACACAAGAAGAGTTCATATTATTTTGACTTGAAAGCAAGTTTCCAGGAAGCAAAGTCTTCCTTAGAGGGAATAGCTAATTCATAATGTTTTATTGTTTCTCTCTCGATGTCTTTTTGCCTTTAAAGACTTAAGTTGTTTGGTATTTTGGTTGTGGTGTTGCAGTTCAAGAAAACTATTGCAATGCAATTTGCTATGGAACAAGATTTTGATAGGTAAATACCCTATGGTGTATAAAGAGAGTTTAATACACTTGATTTATATGATGATGTGCTGATAGTGTGTTTTGATGGTTAATATATCATATTTCTTGTATTTCAATTCATATTTAGGTAGAGCAGAGCACATTCTGTGCTTTCACAGAAGAAAAAAGTTTAAAGTTTTACTAACATGAACACTATTTTTGATCCATGGTGTATCTGATTATTTATTTTTTTATGTTACATTTATTTTATTCAGTGAATTTTAAGGATCTTGGAAGAAATGTAAATGCTTTGTTTCTTCTTTTTCATTCTTGATTTTGTTTTCTCTTTCCATTTGTTTTCCTTTGTTATTTTTCTTTTTTTCATTTCCAATATCTTTTTTTATGCTTGTTTGGTTTTCTTTTTTCTCTCACCTCTAAATCTTTTCTCATTTCCATCAATTTCTTGCCTATTTTTTATTATTATTTTGTCTTTCAATTTGTATCCTACTTTTTCTTTTTCTTTTCCACTCTATTGAAATTTTGTTTTATCCCTTTGTCAGTTCCACTGGTTTTATTTTCTACTTTTTCTTTAGTTCATGTTTTTTATCATATATATATATTTTTTTCCAGTAAGATGTCATTCCATCCTCCTCCTCCTCCTCCTCCTCCTCCTCCATCTTAGCATAGATAACTGCGTACAGGTGCCTTTACAATTGCTTATAGAGTAAGAATGGATTTCAAAGAAATATCATAAAAGTGCCAGATACTTGTTGATTTTTAAAAAGGGCAGAGCTTGTTAACATAAGGAGGTAATTAGTTTGTTAATACAGGAGTTACATGGACGGCCAGTAAGGAGGAAGGTACTAATGCTTGCTGAGTATATACATTTATGTGCGTTATTCACATTCTTGTCTTTATATTACTAGTCAGATATTTGTTGTTTTTTTCTCATAGCTCTAGCTAATAAAACTTCTCTTGGTATTCTCAGTTTAGGTAAATAAAGAGAGTGCTTGAAGATTAATTATATAATGTGCTGTCCAAAATGACAATAAAAATTACTATATCTTGAGAGTTTCCTATTCAACCTGTTATTAATATTGAACTGTACAATTTAGGAGCATGAGATAAATTTATTGTTTAAAAAGTCTCTCAGTTGTTGAGATATTTTTAGGGAGTCAATAAGTAAATTAAAAAGATAATGAATATCATTTT